CGTCCCAGAATAATTTAGTTGTATACATTCCATTCTCATATTTTAAATTACTTTCGAATTGAGAAATAAATTCCTCTTTAAATTTCAAATCTCCACTGTGAGTATCATTTATCCCCAATTGAATCTAACTGGCCAAAAACTGCGTTAGTTTTTCATTTAATGCGGCGCAACATTCAATTTTCATAATAGAAATATCCCGATTCGCATTTAAATCTGATGGAGGGATTCGACCTTGAACAACCCTTCCAAACAGAGTATCAATCAAATACAAAGATTTGTTTAATCACTGTTTTTCTCCCGTATGAATATCCCAAAAATACTGTGCTCCAATAAGCAGAGACAATTCATTTCCTGACGATTTACTTAGGTTTGACAACTGAATGTTCTTTCTCGAAAGTATTTGCATTAATTTGTTATGTGATACTTTAAACTGCGATCCAGAAATACAGTCAGTCAAAAGTGCTTCAGTCGTTATTTTCTTGTCCGAATCACATAAATTACAAAGTGAAAACCGAACTACGTCATACGTTTTTTGTATTGGCACTCTAGAGCCGAAAGTGTAAACAGCTAGACTTTCTTGTCTAATTATGGGTAGTTTCATTTCTACGGCTACTTCTTTTCTCAAAAAATCATCTCTGTGACGCATTATCTAACAAAATATTAATCTCTTTGCTTTTATTACTGCTTATTAATACTGCCGAGCAAGTTTCAAGCAGTATGTCGCAATCATCGGATTCATTCACACATGCTACGGAAGACATTTAATTTATTCGCGTCGACGGTCTGACGAGACTCCAAAGCGGGGGTAGAAGAATAAACATTGCGTTGATCGCAAAAATCAATTCGTGATGCATAAAATGTTTACAAATTCCACAAATAGATTTCTTTTGACACTGCTTATATACGTGCCCCTTCGAAAAGCAAGCGTAACATATACCATATTTTCTAAGAATTAATTTTCTCTGTTCTACTGATAAGGGACAAATGGCAGATTCGTGCTCTATTTTCGGTTTTGTACAAAATATACATTTTTTCACATCAACAATAAATGCAGAAGTAGTAGGAATGTTCGAATTTAATTTATTTTTCCCGCTATATTCAACTTTGGTTTTATTAAATCTCCCATACTTTTGATTAAGTTTTTGTAAAGGATTAAATTTAGTTTCCAATCGCGAATCTGAAGTGTTTAAATTAAAGTCTCTACTTAAGTACTCGTTACGTTCACGACACTGAATTTCAATCTTTAAAAATTCTAATAAATCAGATATTTTGTTTTCATCTTCCGAATGTATTTTACGAGAAAATACTAAGGACAAATCTTTGGGTATCGATTTTAACAAAAACTGGATACAACAGACAACTGTAACTATTAGGATTAATTCCGTTATTTTCTAATCCTCGAATATGTGTTTCGCATTCTGAGTAGTCTACGCAACGCTACAATGAGAAGTCTACGCAACGCTACAATGTCATATGATTTTCGTACTGGACTTAAGTTTAAAAGTCTTGCCATATGCGCATCGATAATAATATCTTTTCGACCAAAGCGTTCTTTTAATATGTTCCAGGCAATTTCATAGTTTTCAGAGCTTAATGCTAAACCACGTAGAGCTACCTCAGCTTCGTCTGTTAAGTACGATTTTAAATAACTAAACTTCTCTACATTACTAAGGTTCACATTTTTATGGATAGCTACTTCAAACTGAGAAAAAAATTCGTTAAACCTTTTAATATATTGCCATTCGTATTGAGGTATCTGCAAGCGAGGAAGTTTTACTGTATTGCTGCTCACTTCTGGTTTCTACGAACATTTCGTTCTTTCAGTTTCACGAACAACTTCGCTTTGTTTCTTTTTCAGGATTCTATTCGCGCGAATTTTCCAAAGTAATTAATATTATCTTTATATTCTTGCTGTTTTTCAATTTCCATTTCTATTTCTTCCATTTTGCACAGTTTTAAAATTTCCTTCATTAAGATACTTTAAATTAGCTTCCTTATCTAAAAGTTTCGCTAAAAGTTCATAATTAAATCAACTGATCTTTCCTGTTTGTTTATTTCAGTTTCTAACAGTTTCATAGTGTCAGTTGCCGCGCGTCTGATAGGTGCTCTAATCTTTTTTAAAGCTTCTATATCCATCATAACAATTTAAATTATTCAATTCGCTAAATACGTTTTTCAGTATTCACTTCGCAATTTACTTTATCTAAAGGTCTCTCCAGGATTATCGGCACCAAAACGATTTGTAAATACGCATATATATTTTTTGTCGCTAAAACTCAATTCAAATCAAAATATAAAGAAATCTCACTTACCTGTCAGACGCATTCTCGACTTTTATCATTTTCTCTATATTTTATTGACGACACAATTAAATACATTTTTACAACAAAAAGAGGCACATATAAACTTGGGTTAATGTTTCGCGATGGTCTTACATCTTTCGCAATCATCAAGGTTCTGCACTAGTCCGAAGAATTCAAGCGCACACAGCGCCATCTGGTGCAATACATATAAACTTGGGTTAATGTTTCGCGATGGTCTTACATCTTTCGCAATCATCAAGGTTCTGCACTAGTCCGAAGAATTCAAGCGCACACAGCGCCATCTGGTGCAATACAGTTTCTACACCTGCCTGCATGCTTCAAATTAATGCCATCGCTTATTACTGCACAATTTTTATGATGAACGCCTACTTTCGTATGTATTAAGATATGCCTGCTCACGCAGCTGAATTTTCTTCGCCCACAGGTGTTGGTACTTCCCTAGTACCATTTATTTGAAAATATCTTTGCCTAGTGCACTTTAATGCGATCTACTGGCGAAAACTCTTTAGTAGTTAATGGCCAGAAAAAAAAAGTCATAAGTAAAATAACGGATTTATTAAACTTTTTAAAGAAAGAAATCGAATCTCGAGAACGTACATTTCTTTTAATTAAATCGATGGATTACGATAATATTTATTCAAAAATTACAGATAAATATGTCCTCGCGAACACACAAAATAAAGAAAAGTTCGTATTATACGAAAATAAAAATAAAAATCCAAAAATACAGTCAACAGCTGCGGCTTTAAACACATTCGTTGATAATTTATGTGTTTTTTGTGATAAAGTAACAGATCATTTATCAGACGATTGTAATAAATTTAACATAGCACAAAAGAAAGATATTCTGAAAAGAAATTTTAGATGTTTCTTGTGTTATAAAAGGTTCCATACTAAAAAAATTATGCAGAGTTAAGATTGAATGTAATGTATGTCACAAAAGGCAACAACACAAAAAGGTGTGTGTGTGTGTGTTTAATTATGGCAAAGCACACTAGGGCTATCTGCCTAAGGGGAGGGATGCCCTCGTGGAGGATTTTCTAAGGGAAACTGGCTCGTATACACATTACACATGGGGAAAACCACGAAAACACCCATGCAGCCAGCCCGTTCGCGGGATTCGAACCTCGGACCGAACTACCAGTGTTCAGCGACTTTACCGCTCGGCCGCTGGTGGGCCAACACAAAAAGAGGTTATGTGAAAAAGGCCTATCCATTTGTAAATGATTCTTCATGTGAACAGGTTTATTCTATTAATAACTCTGAAACAGTATTGACGTCAATAATGCCAGAAAAGAAAGAAATTACAAATGGTAAACAAATTGTGTTTCTACAGACATTTCTAGCCATTGTTCGTGGCACAGGAATGAAAACAAAAGTTCGTTGTGTACTTGATTCAGGAAGTCAACGAACATTTATTCATGAAAATTTATCGAAGAAATTAAATTTGCCAGTCGTAGGTAAAGAAAAAATAAATTTACACACTTTTGGTAATGATACTGCAGTGAACAGTACAAGATGTAGGGTTAAATTTCAGTTACGTAATATTGAAGACGAAAATAAACATTTGACTATTGAAGCATTAGAATCCCCAGAAATTTGTAATGCTTTAATAGAAATTCGCAGCCAAGAACTATATGACCATATCCAATCTTTAAACATTAAATTATCTGATTATGAAGATGGTGAAAGTAATCATCATAAAATTGACATTCTAATTGGATCAGATTATTTTTGGGAAATAGTTTCTGGTAAAACAAAACGTTTAAGTTCATCGGTGATGTTAATAGATACACTGATGGGATGGTCACTTCAAGGTGCAGTTAACACATTCCTCTTTAACCATAAAACCATCATCCGTTGGAGTTTTAAATGCTGTTTTTATGAAGGATTTGGATGAAGATCAGTTAACGCCGTCTCAGTTAAAAGCGTTTGGGGAATTAGAATCCCTGGGAATCTATAATGACTTAAAAGTGTCTACTTCTGATGAATAAGCTCTTCGAAGTTTCGAATCAAGTTTGACTTTTAAAGAAGGCCGTTATGAAGTCCAGTTTCCATGGAAACATAACTGTAATAATTCGGAAAATAATTACGATAATGCTAAGAAAAGACTTGTTTCGTTGTTTAGAAGATTTTATAAGGATCCATTCTTGTATGCTGACTATAAATCTGTGATAGAAGAATACTGTAAGTTTGGAATCGTAGAATCAGTAACTGAACAAAATGATACAGGTAAGAATGCGATATATTATTTACCACATCGCCCTGTAATTCGAAAGGATAAGAATACAACGAAATTGAGGATTGTTTTTGGTGCTTCTTCGCATCCTCCTCATGCTCCTTTGCTAAACGAATTGTTACATCCTGGACCAAACTTAAACTCAGATCTCTTAAAACTTATAATTAAATTTCGAATTAACCGAATTGCATTTATTGCTGATATTGAGAAAGAATTTCTGCAAATTAGTTTAGTGAAGACTGATCGTGATGTTGTACGATTTCTGTGGATAGACGATTTGCCAGATAATGTATCTCATATTCAACCAAAAATTCTGCGAATGGCTAGAGTCCTGTTTAGTATTACTTCCAGTCCATTTCTTTTAGCTGCTGTAATTAAATTCCACCTGAAGCACTATTACACTATGTATCCAGATACTTGTTTGATGCTAAATGAATCGATGTACGTCGACGATTTGTTATCAGGAGCTCCGAATGAAGAAGAAGCTTTCAGAAGATCTAAAGAAGCAGACTACATAATCAAAGGAGTGGGAATGAAAAATTCGAAAATGGAAAGGTAATTCTGTAGAGTTTGAAAACCTGTGGTCTGATTATGGATTTGAAACTTGTACAACAGACGATACATATACTTCATCAAAGGTATTGGGAATGTTATGGGATACTCAAAAGGAGAGTTTTAAATTTGACGTCAAAAAGCTATTAAATTTTATTTTGAATTCTGATGATAATAAACGTACAATAATAAGAACTGCGGGAAGAATATTTGACCCAGTGGGTTTTCTTTCCCCCTTTACTGTAAGGCTGAAAATAATTTTTTTCAAGAATTATGGGAACGAGGAATTCCTTGGGATGAAGAATTACCTCAATTGAAGGAAACCTGGAAGAGCTGGTGCTCTGAAGTAGAACTCCTGACAGAATTTTCAATTCCAAGGAAATACTTTCCGACTAACGTGGATATCATTGGAGATACATTGCAGTTACACATATTTTGCGATGCCAGCCCTAGAGCTTACGGTGCAGCAGCGTATCTCAAATTTCAGGAAGGAGAGAACATCAGCACTAGTTTTGTGATGGCTAAAACCAGAGTTTCTCCTCTAAAGAAATCGACACTACCGAGATTAGAATTAATGAGCGCAGTGATTGCAGCCAGAATTGCCGATTACCTCAAATACAGCATTATTTTACTTTAGTCAGACTCTTCCATTACACTGCATTGGATAAAAGAAACGGTGAAGGATTTGAAACCATTTGCATCCAATAGGGAAGGTAGCTGAAATAAAGAACTATACCGATCCTCAAAACTGGATTCATTGTAAGGGATCGGATAACCCAGCCGATATACTCACGAAAGGAAAAAGTGTTTCAAATTTAATGAAAGACGCTAAGTGGTGGCACCGTCCTCCATGGTTAATTTTACCAGATAATTCATGGCCTCGAAGCAATTTGAGTGAAGTTTACTCTGAAGAATTGAAAATTGAAAAGAAAATTACAGTGCAGTTTGCATGTAATGTCACACCAATACCAGAACCAGTTCTCGATATAGAAAAATATAGCAAATTGTCAAGATTGTATCGAATTACAGCTTAGATAAAACGCTTTATACATAATGCGAGAAAATTTGGTGAGAAGAAACAAGGTCCCTTAGCAGCATTAGAACTGTCAGAAGCAGAAATATATTGGGTGAAAACTATCCAATCAAAGCATTTTGAAGAAGAAAGAAATCAACTGCTTAATGATCAGCCAATAGCAAGGGTATCGAAACTTATTGAGTATCGAAATAGCAAGGGTATCGAAACTTTCGATCCAGAACTACATGAAAACAAACTGATATGCATAAAGGGAAGACTACAATTTTCAAAATGTGAAATGGAAGAAAAACACCCATGGTTAATTCCTGGGGGAAACACGTATGCATAACTCTTAATTATAGACGCGCACAATAAGGTACTACATTCAAGAATAGCTGACACACTGGCTGAACTACGGAGCAAATTTTGGATTCTCAAAGGAAGGCAGAACGTTAAATCTGTGCTCAAAAACTGTTCTTAATATGCAGGCGATATAAGGTTCGCCCTGCAGTCCAAGCCACAGCTCTGCTTCCAGCAGATCGTGTTCAACATGCCTCAAGAAAATAATTGGGAAGTCGTCTCTTTCACCTGAAGAACTGAGAACTTAACAGAAATAGAAGCTGATAAATTCAAGACCGATTACCTGTGTGTACAGTAATTCACGAGTGTTATCTCCTTTGAGTCCTTCTCATTTTCTTGTAGAGAAACGTTTGATTTATTTACCACCGGTAAAATATGATGCAAATGTTAATGCAGATAGAAATAATATGATAAAGCGGTACAACTATCGACAAAATTTGTTAGATCATTACTGGAAAAGATGGAAAAGCGAATATTTTCAAAAACTTACAATCTGCAAACTGTATAACACCAACAAAGGTCAAAGCAGACTTTAAAGTGAATGATGTAGTCTAGATCGGGGACAACAAGTTGCCTAGAAATATGTGGAATTTAGGCAAAATTGTGCATTGTCGCGTATACCGGACGTGACGGTAAGATACGTAAAATATAGTAAGATAGTAACGATAGTAAAAGTGCAGTGTAAAATTTAAATCTGGTATAGTGAAACGGCCAATACAACTTTTCTGTCCATTGTAACTTTCAGAATAGACTATATGCTGAGAAAATAAGACAATTTGAACTTTAATATTTCATTTAGAATTATATATATTATTATCATTATTGTTATAATTATTAGTTATTGTTTTGTTATCTATTTTTGTAATATTTTCATTATGTTTTTATATTAATTGTAGTATTGATAATTAATTATTATTGTAATTGATAAGTAAGTATTGTATAATATTGATTAGTTAGATTTAATTGATGAACTTTCAGTTCATGGGGGGGCAGGATGTTATAAATTGATAGTTTTCGCCGTTAGGTGGCGCTCCGAAAGTCTTGTCTCTGTTGATATTCTGTAACTTAACTTTAACTTTGATGGAAGAACGAAGGTGTTAAGCCTAATGATGATGAAGGCGTGTGCCTAATAATAATGCTTGTAACCATTGTAGTATTATATTGTAAATAAAACGTGTGTGTATTAATAACGAGACGGAATGATCATTTACCTCTGGAATTAATGCTGTCTGGATGGTAACGAAATTAGTTATTACATATCACGCGGAATTTCAGTTATATGTCTTTTTCCCCGATCAATGTTTCCTTAGCATCTAAAACTCCGAAATTCAATTTTTAATTTCTGTAGTATTAAGAAGATACTAGGGACGAGGAGGGGGAGAAAATATGCGATATGTTATACTGTAAAAATCTGAATAGAAAGGGATTCGTTTGGATGGATAGAAAAAACTGTAGAATCTTCTGGACAAACAAGTTTACTGGCGGAAGATTCCTGTGTCATTTGGCTTTTAGTATTTTGCTCAAGACTCAGATGTAAAACTGCTATTATTACTAATTTTGGATTATAAGAATTTAATGTAATGAGCTTTGGTTTGAGAAATGCACCAGCAAAGTTTCAAAAATTAATAAATACAGTTCTTTCAGGTCTATATTTCGCTTTTCCCTACTTAGATGGCATTCTGATAGTATCTGCTAATAAGGAACAACACGGAATCTATTTAAAGCTAATGTTTGAAAGATTTAATGACTTTGGACTCCGCAGTTTCAAAATCCATCTTTGGCACACAAGAAATAGAATTCTTGGGTTATTTAATTACTTCTTAAGGATCCCGACCTTTACCTGACAAAGTCTACACTTCCAACAACCGTTCACGAACTCAGAACATTCTTAGACCTTATTAATTTTTACCGGCAATATTTAAAAAGTACATAAAAAAAACAATCTCTCCTACATGACTACCTTAATGGAGGACGGAAAAAAGATAAACGGAAAATTCAGTACACAGATGAAGCTAAGGGACAATTTCAGCGGTGCAAAGATGATTTAGTCAATACAACAGACTTATCATTTCCGAATCGTGAATTACCTCTGTCAATATATACAGATGCTTCAGACTCGGCGATTGGAGGGGTACTTCAACAATTTGAAGATAAGCGATGGAAACCTATCGCATTTTATTCCAAAAAAACTAAACGAAGCACAAAAGCAGTTCTTGCGGTAGAGAGTTACTAGGAATTTACCTCTCCATCAAACACTTCAAATTTTTACTGGAAGGACGCACATTTAAAATATTCACAGACCATAAATCTATAATCTTTCCATTTAAACGAAAGCCAGAAAAAGCATCACCTCGTCAACTTGGACATTTACAATACATCTCTCAATTTTCAACTGATATACAGTACATAGCATCGTTGCAGATACTTTATATAAAAGAAATTTCTTGCCAAGTATCCGTAAAAATGTGCAGCTTTGGACTCGATCTTGCATGGCTTGCCAAAAACGTAAAATTTATCGGCACACAAAATCAAGTTTCGTTGATTTTCAACTGCTTACAGAACGATTTTGTGACGTGCATATTGATCTCATTGGACCTCTACCGCCATCAAATGAGAATATTTACTGTCTCAATTGCATTGAACAGTACTCTGTAACTGGATGAATGTGATTCCACTTAATAACATTTCAGCAGACATAGCTGCCAAAGCATTTTATACTAACTGAATTTTAAGATATGGTACGCCATGTCGCCTAGCCACAGATCGTGGAGCACAGTTTAATTCAGAGTTGTTCAACAACCTATCAAAAATTTGTGGAATAAAATTGCAACATACGATAGCTTACCATCCCCAAGCAAATGAGAAGGTCGAGCGCCTCCATATATCTCTCAAGACCGCACTTATGGCACACAATAGCCTGGCCTGGAGTGAAACACTTCCAGCTGTTCTTCTTGGCTTACACACAGTTATGCAAAAACATTCTGCATACATCATTGCTCAAATGGTTTATAGATAAAATATACGATTACCTGGAGAATTTTTCCAAGATAGCACAAATCCTACACCACCTGATATTTTGTCAGGAAACTAAAAAATCTATGGAACAAATTGGATCAAGTACAACAGTATCTGATAAATATGTCAAAAAAATATTCGTCCCTAAAGACTTGAAAACAATATCACATGTGTTTATTCGCAAAGATAGATTTTAAAAGCTATTAGAACCTCCTTACGATAGTCCTTTTCAAGTTGTTGACAGAAAAGAAAAATATTTTACCGTAAAAATCAATTACGAAGATGTTACAGTGTCTATTGATAGATTAAATCCTGTGGGTTTTTTTTTTTTTTTTTTTTCAGACGTTACTACGAAGCAATCAGCCACGTTAAAAAGTCAACTTATCAAACCTCCAACAGACTTATCTCCTAAAATTAAAAAGCTTCCTGCAAAACAATCGCGTATAGGAAGGACAATAACCCCCCATGCGATTTCGAGATTAGCATTTACATATATCTATAATATGTTTTGTAAATAGTGTGGTTTGAAAGCTCTGCCGTGATATGCTGCACCTTAACTTCGTATCTGGGAAGGCTAATATCGTTTTATTCGTTTTTTGTTGTTTTTGGAATGGCAA